ACGTTAGCCAAGTGGACTTCGATGTATTTGCTCTTAAACTGAGTTGGGCCATATACCGGTCGGGACACTCACCTGATCGCGTCCCTTGACTCGGAGCGATATGAAATGTCACAATTCACGACGCGTTCTATTGACCCTGAGTAAGTCAACTCGCACGCATGACGTAACGTCGCCCTTCTATAGCTACTGTCTGATAGTATCACACCCGAGATAAACAGGAACTCGCTCGATTTATTGAATGTATTGTGACCTCAGGGAAGAATGCGCATCGTAATAACGTGTGAAATTGTCTAATAACTTTCCCATCTGTTTTTGACAAATATTGCCGTCAGTATCATACATTTCTTAACATTTGTTACTTCAGCAAGCTGATAAGAATATATGAAATAAACATATGTTATAATCGATCCTACTAGATACTAAATTAATCTTATATCAAGAGTAAATAAAAGATTTATAGAAACAAAATGATACGAGCAATGATACAAGGAATTAATAAACTATTAATGTCAGCTGATAAGATTCTTGATACTCCCTTTGTCAAAATTATTTTTTTATTACATTAAATTAATGTAATAAAACTATAAATTATATAAACAGTGTTAACGCGTTATAATTTCCAGATTCTGATACAACTGTCCATTACTACTTCTCTGATGTTTCAGTGCTATTTATTAATATTCTTATTAATCTTCTACTACTAATAATATATAAATAATTTTATTATAAATTCTTTGCATAACAAAATTTATCATATAGATAAATCGCGTTATTATTGAATATTATATTATAGGTACATATATGTGTATTATTTTTTTATTAATTTTTTCAATTTTTATTTACGTTATATGAAAATGTAATTTCTACGAATTATCATGCTGCATATAAAGAATGCACACACATACAGATAATTTTACCGTCTATCAAGTTAAAATTATTCCAATTTTGATTAGTAGTAATTATCGGACTATTGGTGCAAATATAAAGGAAAGCAAGAGAAATAGACACGGTACTTATTGTTAGTAAGACTATTTTCGATTAGCTCTTGAATATCGAGTAAAGGCAGATTGCTTTTATTTGCAAACATTTGCACTACGAATCGCGTCTCTCTCAGCGAGTAAGTTTAATTAGATCGAGTCGTTCGTTACGAGCCGATATCGAATTCTTGATGATATTGAGAAAGGAAAAATGCCGATAGTAATCGCAGCCGCGATGCCTGATATATAATCCGGTTTGTCAATTATTGTCGATAAATTGTGTTCGAAGCGCATTATCGGTACATGGTTGTCCGCGCGAATAAATATGAAAAGGCGTAACATATACACGATGAGTTAAAAAAACGTAATAATTTATATTCGCTCAAAATATATGCGTATTATACGCTTTGATTAGTCCAATTGATCACAAACTTTCATGTAACTTTTATATATTAATTCGTTAACTTTGCAATATATCACAAGATTAGATTTTATAAGATTAAAATCGAATCTTAATCTTGAGAATCTAGATTTTTGTTCAAATGTTTTATAATTCATAAATTTCATAATTATTTTAAAAAACGAGATCTAATGTTGCATGGTATTTAAATTCGATCTCAAGGATTGGAAAAAATTTATTATCATCGCCAATAATTAACTTTTCAAAAAATGAAAGAACGTATTTAAAAATATAGAAATACATGAATGAAATAGTCCTAGATAATAAACAATATAGAAATAATAGATAACATACCATAAGCTATATATAAACGACCTTAAAATTAAGAAAAAATTAATTATCGTTGCTAATGATTAAAACTTAAATAAAGAAATAAAAGAGCATGTTGAAAAATATAGAAATACATTAACAAAATGGTCTTTCGTTCGAGAATAAATAATACAATCAATTATTAGCAAAGTTAATTTATAAGTTAATTAAATTTTTATGGATTTCAACAGATGCTGCTCTTTTCGCAATATGTAAAATTTAAATATCGTTATTAATTGAATCACAACTAATTTAATATTTCCCAAATTTGAATCTCTTTTATAAATATGCAGAAGAAGAAAGAAGCATTAATTCACGCAAAGTAATTAATGTATGCGGCGTTATGCCAGATGTGTGTGCTTTTTATATTTTAATAATTTTTTTTCCTGCCTAAACTTCTTCCACCTTTTCATTTTGTTAGCGACATTCTACGCGTTTATATTCAAGTTCGTAATGAAGCATTTACGGTAGCTTCGTGGATTATTATTAATTATACAAGAAAGCGGTTCCGCTCTCGACGTGACAGTTGCCGATCTAGAATTTCATATTAATTAATACAACAGACGCGCGTGGGATGCCCTCATGCGCGTTATTATTAATTTCAGTGCACACCGACTCGCTCGTCGCAAACTGTTTCCGCATTATAACTTTATCCGATATGAAATTTACGGCAGAAACGCGAATTATTTTACAATATATTATATAAATTTTTATAAGCTGCGTTAAGAAAAACCATCAGAAGTAATAATGAACGACATTACACATTAAAAGTAAATATTTAATCTATATTATATTTTCTTTCACCGATTATATAGTATAGAGAATCGATAAGGATCAGAATAAAAATAACCGTATCTCAGATTTCCAGACGAGCTATTATTGGAAGCATGATGAATTAATTACTGGCGGAAACATAATATCTACGTTTCAATCGTATTTATAATGTTACATCGTATGTATGATTTAAAATATACATACACGCACAACTTAAAACATAAATATACATTATATTCGTAAAACATATGTGCACAATTATAGTGTACAAAAATAATAATTTTTAATTTATAATTTTTCTAAAATTCATATTTTCAATGTAGGTATCATATTTTACGAATTTCTCGTACTCAAAATAAAGAGTGACAATCCATTTCTCCCTTACATCTCTAACTCGATCGTTTGTTTGCCTCTTATATCGTTAATGTGTCAAGCCGGTCGTGTTATAAATTTTAAGAAGCTTAATTCCGCGTAATTACCAAAGTTTCTAGGTTGCCCCACGAAGAAGGGAACAGTTACGGACCAAAAGGGGGCAGGGAATGGGAAAGAAAAAAAGAAGAAAGAACGAAGACGAAGAGAGCCGAGAGTCGAAAGTTTTTAAGACCTAGCTCCTTAAAACATGCCGACATTTTTCGGCTATTATTTACTTTTCCACAAACTCGGCAGATGGTGACCTGCAACAAAAATTAGAGGAGAATAGACGACCGTCGCGAAATCGACGACACTTTGATTTATGAGGTAAAGATGGAAATTCTATGTCAGGAACACGCGACACACACACACACACACAGAGAGAGAGAGAGAGAGAGAGAGAGAGAGAGAGAGAGAGAGAGAGAGAGAGAGACCGAGGGTCGCGTCCCACGAGACTCCCAGATGCCTTTATTCCAATTTTTCGATCTGCATCTCGATCATCATCGCACGTCGTTCGTTCGTAAGAGAGCACTCGCGAGAGTACTTTCTTATGAGATTTATGATGTCCCGATGTTGCGGAAAAATGGAAACTCAAAATGCGACGAGAAGGAAATCGATCTCGTTTTGTACGGCACACGATATACCATTTTTATAAAAATTGTATTTTTATTAAAATTTAATCATAATGATATATAACATAAATTATTAAATTAAAAATAAGTGATTAATTATGATTTATGATTGACTTATTAATTAATTAATTGAAAAGTTGTAGAAATTTGTACAACTTTTTGAAAGGTAAATTATATAATCTTTTACAGAGTCGAGTTTGCCGCAAGACACCGAGCGTAATTCTTGCAAAAGCTAGTTCTGCTACTGACAAGTGATCGACGCTCCTCCGCAAGGACTCTCGGTGTTGGCGGTGCGAGGAGTTGACGCGCTATTTCAGGAAGCCATAGTGATTACGCTTCGGTCGCCAATGAGAGCTTATCTCGGCGACGGCTTCTAAAGAAGATGTCTCTATATATACGTTTAAACGCCGTTAGTAGCCGCTGCCAACAGCACTTTCATCCCCTTGACCGGCCCTGTGGCTAAACTTACGCCAGGCTCGATAAGTTATTACATCGTGAAAATAAGAGGAAAATTGGAAAGCGGTTTAACCGTGAAAACGGTGTCAATTACCGCCAGTGTCGACGATACCGGTTCGAGGGAGAAAAGAGAGACGGTGTCTGGCGATACCTGCATCCCTTATGCGAGAGGGATGCTTTTGCGTCGGCACAAAGGACGATACGTCAAGGAGCGATCCTAACAAAATATTTCTCGGTGGTAATTTTCTAATGATGTTACCAGACAAGATTGTAATTACCTGGTGGAGGTAAGAGAAGAAACTAATTTATTGCAATCGTCGAGAGCGGAAGTAGCGGAGTGCAATCTGATAAAACGAGAAGGTAATTCGTTATACGCTGATCAAGGGTAATTTGTAACGTCGCCTTTCAGGAGTGAGTGATAGCCGTCGCGATGCAGTGATAAAATTTGAGCAATGGATGTGAATAGAGAGTGAGCGTGATAAGGAGTTTGTGTTTCGAGATTACGGGAACATTTCTGACATCTCTCTCAGCATCTCGTTTGAAATGACTTCTGCAATTCAAGTATACATAGTATACATATGTCCGAATAATAGTTCTCCTAATGTGACATAATTTTTAAATTTAGTTATGTCAAGAAAAAAAGTAATTCACACTTTAATTGCACAATATTGTTCATATTATTATTTATATTTATAATAGATCTGCATAGATTTATTAATTCAATAACTTGATAATTATATTTTCTCTGTTTTGTAGATATATTTGAAATACAGTTATTAATTTACCAGATTTTAGTCGCTTTCGAATTAGTATAGTCTATGTAATCAACTATCAACAACGTACAATGGCATCAAGCTGTGGCCATTTATTTCGGTACCATACCAGTAGAACCATACCCAAACGTGTTTAAGCAAACTAATAAATTTCACCAACTCCCGAAACTCCCTTCGAACTTTATGATAAAGCGCCAGCGTCACTTACCAGTAGGTGTACATGGAGTTCTTGCCGCCTCTACGAGATCCTCACGACTTCCAGGCGGCGCCTCCAGCATTGTCGCGCTGCCGGAAAATTTCTTTATGCACAGCAGGCTCAACGCTAAAAACCAAGAACGACATATTGTACATCACACAATACCTGATATCTCAACATCAAACTTGATACTTTTCACTTATATTAATAAAAGAAGATTAATTTTTTTTCTAATAAAAATAATGCATTATAACTTTCAATTTTAATTCGCGTGTAAATATATATGTATATATATTTTTTTCTAACAATTCGATGATTTAGATGATGTACAAATTAATGAGCAATAGCCTTAATTTGATTTTCTATGGTGGAGGTGCTAATTTCACAGAGGTAAATTCTGATGTTCCAAAACTATAATTATGTGTTACAGTACAAAATAAAAAAATTTTAATTCTATAAGAATTGAATAAAAACACGTTCAAAATTTTAAACAATATATATGAATATATACAAAATGCATGTTTATTCACCTAAATAAATTCATATTCATCACAAAATAGCTTTTGTTCATTAGAAATTGCTTCATACTGACGAGTTGTGCATTCTTTTGTTATGGAAAATGAGATATAGCACAATATATCATATATTGTGTGTATATATTTTATATTCTGGTATAATTAGAACATATGCGCACATTGTAGAGCTTGCTTAGCGTTTTTAAGCGATTTTTAATCCTCTTGATATTTTAATAGTTCTTTCTCAGAAAATTGGACACGCCATCATACATATTTATAGACATAATCTTTTTGGAAGCTGGCAAGAGCACTGTTATAACTGCCTCATATCAGAAAAAAAGGATCAATAGTGTCTATCATCTAGCTCTATACCGTTTCTTTTAAGTTTAAGTAATTTCAATCGCCTTTTAGATATTTTTATCTCAATGTCGTTATTAAAAGGAATAAATATTTTATAACTTTTTACGAGATACATTATAACCAAATGAAAGAGTTTTCTAAAGACAAATTTGTCTTTAAAATGTACATAGTTTTAAAGATTAATTAACAATTGGAATTTGTCCAAGCTTTTAGCAAGACATATTCATTGAAATGTTTTTATTCGTTGAAACAAAATACTCTCTTTCCTCTTTCTCATAAAACGTGAAATTTATCAAAACTTGGAAATTGAAGTTTCGGTGAACGGAACGATCGCCGCTCTTTCCGTTCTTCATTCGTCATCTGGCTTACACCATGTGATACGTACGTGAGGTGAAATTCGAACGCTTATAACATAGCGTCTCAAGAAGAGATCTAGGCCACACAGACTTTTATTTATTAAAACTCATTTATCTTCGTGTTTTTTTGTGTAATAATCTCCGATCAAAAATGCGATTTTTCCATTAAAACGAAAATGCAGCATTGTTTGAAACTGACAATGAGTTAAAATCAAAATTGAGAGCATCTCGTACAATAATTTAGTAGCGTAATTTATAAATCAATACAATAGCATTGTTTTAAAATAATTGTGCACATATCCAAAATAAATTGATATTATTTTTATCAAAAATTAAAAATTAGTATATTATGTTCAATTTATTATTATTTCATAATTTATTATATTATATTATAATTTATTATATTTTATTTAATAGTTATTTAATCCATATTTACAACTTTATTATATCGTTATTTAAAATCTGATAAATGACAACACAAAACAATTTTTTAATTTGTAAAATAAATGTATGTAATTATATAATTTAGAAAAAAAATATCAAAACGAGAAAGAAAAAGAAAAAGTGGGAGAAAGATAATCACGACGATATAAAGTTGTCGATTCACATATCTTACAATTATATTACACGCAAATCTTAATTATATATACCTCTATATATAACATGTAACTCTATAACTTAAGATATAATTTTCTAAATAAAATTATAACCATGTAGACAGAGTGTAATTTACTAACTTACCCCGCTTCACGTCTCGCCACGTGTTCGTAATTTCGCCGGATCTGCCCAGTCTGTTTGGTGTCTGTCCTCCATATATTCCTCTCACATTGTTCAAATGTTTGGTTTCTCTCAATTCTATAGCAAAATAACATTTAAAAATAAATTTCAATAGCCAATATTAATTTTCGTTTAATGATTAAAATATCTCTATAATATTTTATTCTCGTATAATACTTATTTAAAGTAAAAATTTATATAAAATAATTATTATAAATATAATATATATTTTTTTCACATATAAAACAAGATTGTCGAACATTGAGAAAAAAAAAATACAATTTTTTTTAAAAACAAACTTATACTTTGGAATTTATAAAATTTAAAATTATTTTTATCTATGCTGATAATTAGCTGGTAATTAAATAAATAATCATTGATAAAAGAAATTGTTCTTACAAAAAAAAAAGACATGATCGATAATAGCAATAGGTATATATGATGTCGAGCGAATCGCTATTATCAAAATTGCTCTAGCAAGAACGCCTTCTCTCAAACTCGAGGTACTCTCCTTTATGGCGCACTCCGTCAAATTGCTCGTCGCACGAAGTAAATCGAGAGCTTCGCGTCAACTACTGCTTTAGACTCATCTCCCTACCGTTTACCATTCAACGAGGCTTGCATTCGCGTTCCATTTACAGATCAGTGCATTTCAGTGTGAATAGATACGTTTCTCATTCGGCTATTTCTTATGCAAACAAATATATATATGAATTACTTTTCACACAACTTGCTAACGGCTTCATTAATGTTCTAAAGCTTTATTAACTTACACGCGCATTGTAATATACGCACCTTTACAGTCTATAATATAGTTTAAAGAAAGAAAATAACAATAAACAGCAAAGTTTGGAGCCGTTCTTAAAGCAAAAATTAAAAACTTTAGAATTCTAAAGAAGCTTGCAGAAGAATAGCTACTTACGTATATGTTAAACACAATAAAATTATTTTAAAAACTTGAAATAAATAAGTAATAAAGAATTTAAGAGCTAGAAAATAACAAAGTTTTAAAATTTTGTAAAAGTTAGCGTTATGTGTCACAAAAAACAAATGTTATTATCTTAAAATAGTTAGTAATTAGCATATCTTACGATACTTTGTAAGAAGAAATAGATAGTTTAATAACAATTAAAGTATAACCAAAAATATTTTTATTTAAATATATATTTAAAAATTCGGGATTATATTAAGCCTTGTAGATTTTGTACAAAAATATTTGACAAAGTATTTTATTATACGTCTCAAAAAGTAAAAAGAATCTATATGATTGAGTATATATATGTATGTGTTTTTTTTCTATTTTTAATTTTATTTTTGAATTTATATATTTATCTGTTAAACTATTTTTTAAAACCGCTAATAATTAATTCTAGGTTTACAATACATAAAAAAATTAAAAGAAACTTTATATTCTATTTATTCAAAATTTAGTTCTAATCATATCTATTAAATATATATATATATTCAATACAATAAATTCTTTTTTGACAAATGCAATAAAATAATATTCTTTAACAAATATTTTTACACATAAAAAACAAGTATCAATTTTTAAAAATGTTTGAACAAATTTTGAATTAAATAGATAAGACTTTTTGAACTTGAATTCTTGTAATGTATTATTTTTTTCTATCATAAATAAAGAAATGCCACATTACTTCCAGTTTACGAATTCCGATAAATCATTAAGCATAATTAAAAATTAATAAGCATTAATAATCATGGAAAGCAATTGCGCTTTACATCTCTTAATGGATTGTTTCGCATTAAATTATTTTCCTATTCCAAGTATCGACGCGCGAATAATAATAAAGTCCAAGAATGTCAGCAATAACGCGTTAGCCAACATCGAGGTTGAATGCTAATGTTATTGATAATAAATTATATTTTATGCGGTAGGGGAAGAATGGGTGCGCGCTGGGATTGAGGGTAGAGATAGAGGTATACGTACATATGTAGTCCATTGTCATTCATAGTCACACTCGAGTGGGAAGGATATGGGTACGTCATCGCGTTCAATATCCACAACAATCATGCAATATTTTGCACACTCAATTCTAATTGGATTTTAATTCGCGATTCGCATTTTATTACATTATTTATTGCAACGAAGGAACAATGAGATATTTTACGATCACGTAAAGTTATTATTTGTTCAACATTTAAAACATCGCATTTTTCAAACGCTAATTATTTTATTAATGATACTTTATTAAAGCTACAAATATATTTCATCCAATTATTCACTGTTTGAACGATCTAAACTCGAATTACGAACGCGCTAAAACAATAATCGAATCATAGACTCGAATATTCATTAGGCTTCGAATAGCATACTTATTTTTTCAATACCACACAAACTTTTAACTTCAACTTTAATAAATTATAATATAGAAAGATTCTATTATTTTCTATATAAAGTTTTATATTGTTTTTGAATATGCAGAAGAAAAAATGCAAACATATAGTTATTATTGTTTTATGGTTAAGGAATTAATTATGTATATACATATGTATATAATTAATTTTACTACTTCGTAGTAATTAATTGTATCATAAAGCAAGTGTAAATCAATACATATACATATTACTATTGCTACGTTTTATGTAGTCAATTTGTATTAGTTAATTAATTTCAACTAATCAACGTCTATATATACTATATATATGTATGTATATGCGTATATCAAATGTGTGACGCGATCGAACGCTATTGACAGGATAGAAGACCAATTGCACAATTTGCTTACGGGAAAGGATAATGTGTGTTTCGCATTGAACGGGAAAATGCGCATAATCACACGAGAATTCGATTAGCAAAGTCCCAGGATGCGCGACGGCGATAACAGTTAATTGTGCGTTTCATTAGCGGACGCTTCCGTACGGCCGTGCGCGCATTGTAGTTAAAACGCGGCTTTAACAGCGAGTAACCCGATAGGTTTTAAGCCGGTATTCTGTGTCGGGTACCTGGGGCAAATTCACCCTGAAATCGTTAACCTCGTTTCTCGCCGGATAGCGAAATCCATCTGGGTCTCACCGTAACTTAAACCGATTTGCGTGGCAATCAATTCATTTGAACAAATTTGCCATTCGTGAACAAAATCGACTAATTCGTCTTTATATTTGTTTTTAATATTATTCTTTTTAATCTCAAGTCAAATATAATTATTGATGATATAATCATAAGTCGTTACGTGATATTCTAAATCAAATCAACTGTCAAGTATGTATTTCGGTATAGCCTGCTCTTTAAAATTTTAATTAGAATAACTTTAATTTTTAATTTCAATGATTACACAAAGTTCAAACGTCACGTATAAATGACATTTTTTAATTACATTTATCCAGAAATAATATTTTTCAGGTGACTGCAATCAACTGATCATAAATCTTTCATTTGTTTGTAATTATATGTCAATGTGAAATTTTGTGTCACTTTTTGTCGCTGTAACGTCTCGTAAATATTCCTCATCCGCGGAATAACGAAGTGATATTAATTTAGCTATCCATCATGAGTATAAAAAAGTTATTCGCCCGTGGAAAGTTCGTTCGCTACTTCATTTTCTCGCATATACTTTGGCCAAGAGAGAAAGCACGAGAATATTATCTTCGATGTTCCCAACTCTTCGATGTAGCTGTCGACGGCTTTAAATCAGGCTAAGTTATTAAATTGAAACGTGATGCAGCGACATATTCACTTACGACTTTTATATATCTAAGACACTTTCTTTCAAAGAAAGAAACGTGTGACATCGTCGAAAATATGATCTGCGGTGGCTTTGATATAATTATGACCTAAAAACGACTCTTTTCATTTTTCTTATTTAAAACAAAAATTTGACATTCAAATTTTAATAACTATCTTATTAAAATAAGTTATTCTATTTTATATGTACACACATAGATTTGCGTTCGATTAAAAAATATTTTTGAATGTAATATTATCAAGAAATATATAACTATTTTCTTTTTAAATCTCGAACAAAATGTCTCTTCGTAAAAAGAGATGAAGAGAAGGACGTTTTAGTTATTCGTTCTCGTGCCATTCCTGTTCGTAGTGTGCATCGCAGTGCAACGCTCACACACACGCGCCAACTATATATGTATGTGTATACGCTCTCGCGTGACACGCAATCTAGGTGCGATATATAGAGCTACGCCAAATGACGTGACAGGACATAAACCATTGTGAACTACGATAGATGCGGAAAGCCGTGCATTGTCATATATTGAACCTTTTAGCTAAATTATTTCCACCTTTGTGATGAGAGCGTCGTAAATCATCAAAATCAATTTCGAGAGAAAATAATGTGTCAATACTAGTCTTAATCAAGTGTAGCATATAAGCGATATTTTATTAATATCAAAACATTTTTAATTATATATATATGTTATATATGTTCTAATCAATTTTTATTATATTTATACATGAAAAATAAACTTTATTATATTATTTAATCGCTATTTTGTGTTGAAGGCTGATTTCTTCAATTAATTAAAGAGAGAACGCTGTAATTTATATTTATAGTGTTAATAAATTATACAGCACTCAAGATACTTGATTTATAACTTGAGATTCATGTTGAAAGAGGCACAAGATAAATATGAACAACAGAAATCAAATGATAACTGATTTATAGTCTCTCTCTCTCTCTCTCTCTCTCTCTCTCTCTCTCTTGTATCAATATCAATATACCAAGTCATAAATCTTAACTTCTTTCCTCACACTTTGACAGCATCCTTGTCTTGAGATTTCGAATATTCTTGCGTATACCTACCCTTCTGATTTGATCTTGTATCCAATCAATATTGCAATAATGTTTCTCTATTTTTGACTTTTCTTTAAGATTCATGCTCGTGGAACACAACTATTTTATAACATAATCCTCGGTTCTCTCGCGTACGAGATCTGCATACTATTTTTATGTCCTGAGCCCTCGAGATGCTCTCATTAATCTACGAGCTTATGGGAAATTTTCACCTGTACATTATTAATAAAAGAGGTTACGAGAAGAAGCTTAATATCATAATACGTATATTTAATAACATTTTAAATTAAATTAAATTAAAAATAAATA